CCCCCCCCCCCCCCCCCCCGAAGTTATTTTTGGAATGGGCAGCCTAGAAATTGGCTAAATTAAAACAGCTTAGATGACAAGTGTACAACTTTCAGTAGCCCGAGGGGCCCCCCTCCCCCTTTGCTTTAAGAGAAATTGGATGTGCTTTTGTACTCATTTTGAGGTACAAGAGCAGCATTCATTTATTCCCTAGTAGTTGGCTGTAGATAGCCTTATAGCTGGAGAATAATATTGTGATTTGTTTTGAGGATATTTTGATTTGGCAATTGCTGTGCTATGATGTAACAAAAAAAGAAGAGAGAGCCCTGATGGCCCTAGGCATTTATTGAGGATAGATTTAGTGAAGTCATTGAACTGTGTTTGTGGCCCCTTTGTCCCTTAGGCTGTGCAAACACTGTGATAAAAGACCTTTTTGTGATGAAACTCTGAAAGTATCTTAGCCACTCTGACCTTGACTAACCGGAGGCCTTTGAAGGAAGAAGCCGGGCCTGGGAACTCTCTGAAAGCATATATTTACCAAACCTTCTTTCTTGGCTTCTCTGTTGTCATGGAATACAACAAGCTTTTCCTGAAAACTGAGCCTGTGGCAGGCATGTTAGCAGTGTAGAAGCAGATGCTAAATGTTTTTTTGTGTGTGTTTCATCTGTTCACAGCTGTGTGGATGCCACCACCTTCCTCTACTTCAGCTTTTTTGCTCCACTCATCTATGTGGCATTTCTGAAAAGTTTCTTTGGGTAAGCTTTTCCATTTATTTTATTACAGTCCCTTGATTTTGGTTTTTTTAAATGTGTCCAGGGACTTTAGACTACAGCAGACAAATAACTTCCTCATTATACAGTAATTGAACTGAAACTTCCAATAACAGCAATGAGAACAGCAATTTTAAAAAGTGTATAGGAAATCCTCTATTTTCCACCATAATTGGGACTTGCTTAATGGAACCATAGTTGGTGGGTGAGTCACATCTGATTTTACAACCTTTTCTGACAGGGTTGTTAAGCAAATTGCCGCAGTTGTTAAGTGAATCATGTGGTCATTAAATGAACCCGTCTTCTCTATTGGCTTTGCTTGCTGGAAGCCAGGTGAGGAGGTCACAAAATGGCGACCACATAATTCCAGGATACTGCAACCGTAAATTCATGCCAGGTGGCCAATCACTCAAATTTTGACCAAGTGGATGCTGCCGTGGCCATAAATGTGAGGCCCAGTTATAAGTGCGAGGCCCAGTTGTAAGTCACTTTTTTCAGCGCTGTTGTAATTTTGAACTAAGCCGAGGTGGCGCAGTGGTTAAATGCAGCACTGCAGGCTACTTCAGCTGACTGCAGTTCTGCAGTTCGGCT